ACACCACAGAGAGAATCTGAGGGGTGCGGGCCCCCACCTCCTGCTGGCTGGGCTTGGCGAGAGCATGCCAGCTAGGGCAGGCGAGCCCCCTGGAGAGGAGAGGACCTGCAGAGGCCCTCTGGGAGGGAAGAGAGGAGCAGCCAAGACTGGGCAAGTGTCCCCAGGAGGGGACAGCCCTGGGGTGACAGCCTGTGTCTCTCCCCCGTGTCACATGGCGTCCTTAACAGGTGGTCCAGGTGGGAGAGCAGACCAGTGGGTAAAGTCCCGGGAAAGCACGTTTGAGTCCCTGCACAAGACATTGCTGAGCCCAGGGCTGCACAGTCCCGGATGCCCTGCCTGAGGTGGTGTGACCCCTTCCACTGGGGCAGATGAAGGGCCGAGCAGCGTGAAGGCTGGGCTAGACGGCAGCAGCTCTCCAAAGGCCCTGCCAAAAAGGCAGGGAAGCCCCACGGAACCCTGACGGCCAGCCCGGCTCTCGGCAGAGGGTAGGAGAGGGACCGTGCAGCCGGACTCACCTGCAGCTGTGAGCAGGCGGTGAGGAGGACAACACCATTCACTCACAGACACGTGCGGAGGTCCTCTCCACTCCCCCACTGAGCCACGTGCCGCGGGTGTGGACACCTGCCTCCAGCTGTGATGCCCACCGGCACTGCACCCATAGGCAGCTGGGATTTAGTTATCCTTTGAGTGAGTGCCTGATGGGCAGGAGCTCTGTGCGAGGCCCTGGGGATACAGCAGGGACAAGAAAGACGTGGCCTCTGTCCTTGGAGAACATTCCAGAACATCCTAGTAGGGGGATGAGACGATAGGCAAGTCACACATAGAAGACGTCATGACCTGTTGCGCAAAGTGCCATGTGGGAAATTTAAAAGGTGAGGGGACAGAGGGAGGGGGCGGGACCTGCTTCAGAAAGGTGGTCCAGGGGACCTGACAAGGGGACGGTGCGGCTCCCACCTGAAGCCTGGGAAGGAACCAGCCAAATGAGTGTGGGGCAGAGCTCTCCACATAACGGGGGTGCCTCCCAGAAAGGCAGGGAAGATCCTCGGGAGCTAAAGAAACAAAGGCATCCCTGGGCCCTGACGGCAGGCCACGACCCAAGAGGAAGCTGGGGGAAGGGCAGGCGGAAGGCCCCACAGGGCTCCGTGGGACCCGAGGGGGAGTCTACGCCACGCTCAGCTCTAGATCAGCGTTCCCAGTCTGGGGGCTGCAGTCATGAGGGCTGTGAAAGGACCGAAGTCCAGGCCAGCCAGGGTCCAGTGGGCAGCACCTGGGCACCCTCTCGCCCAGCTCTGGCCTGCAGCATAGGGAGCAGGAGGACACCATCCGGGAGAGCGAGGAGCGTGGATGCTTTGGACACTGCCCGGGGAGGGCCTCTGCGGGAGTCAGGGGCAGCGCAGGAGGCGGACGGGCAGAGAAGGAGGGACTCACAGAGGTGAGGTCGGGACTGTGTCGCTGGGTCCCCTTCTGAGAGTCACTGGCAGGGGTTTTCTCTGCCTCTCTCCCCTTAAATAACTCTGGCCCTGCCACCGGCCCCAGATTCCTCGTGAGGATCGGTTCCTTGGAAGGCCTGGGCTACCGCAGGGGCCGCTGCCCCATCAGATCTGGAAAAGGTGATGCACAGGACCGTCCAGGCAGAAGGCAGGAGACTTGGGGCTTCTCTGGCTCAATCCTTCTGTTTTATTTTTAAAAATCCATTTTGCAAAGATGTATGATCTCCAAGTTTCAGAAAAAGGAAGCAGCAAAGAAACTCCTTCTGGTGTAAATGAAAAGAATGACATAAACCACAGTTAATTTAGTATGAAATTGGATTGCAGCCCCAGAGGAGAGAGATGCTTCTCCCTCCCGCATCGGCCACACTCGAGGGCCCGCTGTCCTGGGTTCCTGGTCTGCTCACACCCAGGAGCACAGTGGCACGGGGCCGGCCCGTCTCAGAGGATGCGGGCGCTGGATCATAGTGATTATTTGACATTCCTTAGGGCACTCGGTTTACAGAAGTCCCTCCTCGCATTTACACGCTTGCCTCTACTTGCTGAGCCGGGCCTTGGGCCCCGTTAGATCAGAGGCCCCCTCCTACTGGGGTTTCTCATGGGCCCAACAGTTCCTCGAGTCCTAGGCAGCCGCCTCCACAGGGGATCCTTTGAAGCTTTAGCTGAAAGGAGAGCCCATTCTCTGGATGTGGGTCTCAACCCGAGCTCTGCCTGCTTCCAGCTCTGTGACTGTGGGCAAGTTGCTTCATATCTCTCGGCCATTTCCTCATCTGTACGATGGGCACAGTCACGAAATAAGCCCACCCGTTCACCTCGAAGGACCGCGTGGGGTCAACACAGGAAACATGTCCACGACGCTCTCGGCACAGTGCCCAACCCTCAGGAGCTTCTCAACAAGTTCGCTGCTTAGTCAACGTGCCTTTCAGGTGTTCTGGAAACATCCATGAGCCCGAGAAGCTGGTTTTCTCCGAAGGACACTATGCGAGTGTCGGTGTCACGTGGACTCTCAGCCACACGTGCTTCACTCCTTCATTCCATAACGTTCACTGAGTTCTTACTGTTTCCAGTGCTAAAACAGATTTGCTGAAGAAAAGAAAAATAAAACACTGTCTCTGCCCTTTGAGGGTTTATGATGGTGGATGAGACAGACACGAAGGCGGCCTCACCGGCGGGGTGGGCCAGTGCTGAGACGGACAGGCTGGGAAGCCCTGGGGCTGGGCCTCCCTGCGCCTCCCTGGGCTCCTGCGTGGCAAGGGCAGGAGCAGCAGCAGCCAGAGGCCCTCTGTGTGGCGCTCACTGCAGCCGCGGCAGCGGCCAATGACGGCAGGCAGACTCCCAGCCAGGGACCTGAGTTCAGGGGGCCCTCTGCGCCACGTGTGCCAAGCCCACGGGGAGGCAAGGGACACAGCTCTGACCTGATGCAAAGGGCCAGGCCTGGGGGAAAAGGGTGTGGCTCTGGAGACAAAGGACCCGCAGATCCCGCAAACCGCCCCTGCCATGAGGTTGCACGAAGCTCCCTCCCACCCTCCTGCACCTTGGGGAGAGGCTGGGGCGCAAAGGGCCAGCCGAGAGTGAGCACCTTTGCCTGGAGGAGAGGCCCTTCCTGCCAGGACTACTGCAGCCATGGATGAGCTCAAGCTCTGAGCAGGCTGAACGCTGGGCCGCTCCCGCCTCCCCCACATTCTCTGGAAAGGAGACCAGATTAATCACAGAGCACAGAGCTTGCTGTCCCTCACACCCCCTCCCTGCTTCATGGTGCTCGGTGCCCACCACGATGCCCAGCACCAAGTCAGCTTGACAAATGCCCGTCCCTCACAGCATGGAAGTGAGGAACAGCAAGGTGCCCTTTGCCCCCTCTGGGTCCCGTTTCTAACACGTAATCTCCAACGTGCATTTCTCTTGTACTGAACCCAGCCTCCGGCCCTGGGCCATTCATTCCTGTTCCGGATGCCTGGACCACACCCAGACCCTCTTGGGATGTAGTGGAGGCCCACCCGGGCCTGGGAACTTCATTTATTATAACCAAGCTCCTGATGGCTCAGCTCCATGCCGCCCCCAGGCCCCACCCTGGCCACACACCACAGAGGAGCAGCCGAGCTGAAATGCCACGCGCGTGTGGGAGGATCTCTGGTTCCCTGACGTAGAGGAGATGGGGTGGGTGAGGCGTAGCCTGGGAGGCCCCTCACCCCGGGGGTGCCATGCTAACCTGTGCAGCCAGAATGGATTGTCTGTCCTCTCGGGCAGGGCACCGGCACACCCGAGAGGGTGGTTCCTGACTCTGGCCGGAGACAGATTTTATTTCTCATGAACCTCATGATTCAACTATCTGGAGCATGTGAGGTAGTGTGTGTTCCTGTTGCAGGTGGGTGGGGGCTTGGGGAGGGGATGACATCATGTGAGAGGACTGTGACATTACAGACTTGCCAGGACTGCCTGGCTGACATCTGGAGGACTCCAGTTTGGCATCTACTTCTGGCTTTAACAGCAGCCCTGTGATGCCCACTCACATGCGAGGGATGCAGGCAGGAGGGTCCTGCAGGGACAATCGTTTTCTATGTGGTCCTAGCCTATACCAGAGGGGTGAGAATGCGGGGTGCAAAGGATACATGCCTGAGAAAGAATGGAAGGTGGCGGAATGGATGGAAACTGATGCCACAACAGGGCTTCCGAGGAGCCCCTGGAACAAGGTGCGGAGGCTGTGTGAGCATCGTGTGCCGGGTAACACAGGGGCCCTGCCGCCTCCCGGCTTACGTCTTCAGGAGGTTTGCCTAACCTCCCTGGATCTCAGTTGCCTCTTCTGTAAAATGGGGCTATTAATAGCACCTCCCTCACAAGCCTGCCAAGATCAGGTGAGCCACAACATACCTGTAAGACCTCAGAACGGCGCTCTGGGTGTAGTGCTGGTCCAGGAAGGTGACGGTCACTGCAGTGCACAGGGTGCTGGAGAAGGAAGCAGAGGGGTTCCACACCGACTCTGCCAGGGACCGAGTGAAGGCGTGTTTGCAAAAACAGGAGCAGGGCCCAGATGGCCTCAGACTTCCTTCCAGCTCTGACTCCCTAAGACCTCGACTTGGTTATTTGTGTAAAGTGGACGTCCTCTCTGCTACAAATCATCTGGCCAGGACAGTGTCCACAGCTCCATTAGGGAGGCAAGCCTTTGAGTTAAGCATGTCCTTTAACCCTCTGCTCCCTTCTTCAGAAAAATAGGCCCTGGGGGGATCGGCGGGCATTATCAGTAATACATGGGGGTGAACTGATCCCTCTGGGAACACATGGTCCCTGGGTAACAGCGGGTCACACGGTGCGGCTTGGCGAGAAGGGAATGCAGGAATCACGAACCTGAGGTCCTAGTGCGTGATTTTGTCCAGGGGAAGTCCCTGCCCTAAGCGGCTTTTATAAGCAAATATGAAGGAAGAGCAACTTCAGCATGAAGAACCTGGGTTAGACACCACGCATATGAAGGGAACACAGCGGGACTGAATGGAAACAAGGCAGGCTGGGACCAGTGAGGGGCCAGGGGAGTCCCTGAAGCTCCCCATCCATCTGAGCCAGGCCAGGGCTCCTGTGGGGGATCCGCCTGTCCCCTGTAGAGCCTGCCCTGCCCGGGCACTGGGAGGCTCTCTGGCCCCTGGAGTGAAAGCTGAACTCGCCTTCCGGGAGGGGATGTATCACGGAGGACTCAGCCACGCGCTCCCTCCTGGACACTGCAGACTGAGCCGGAGAACATCTGACATGACACGGAGCCACCAGGCAGAAGCCCGAGTGACTCAGATGGCAGAATTCTTGTCGTGCGAGCCAGAAGGGGCGCGCTCAGCTCCTGGCGCACAGAGAGGAGAGAGGAGTGGGCAGGGCCAGGCAGGGCGTGGGCATCGCAGGGGACCACCAGTCAGGGTAAGAGGCTAAAGTCAAGGGAAGTGAGACTCAAGTATTCTTGGTTTCCCGCTGCTGAAAAGGGACCCAGGGCAGTCTTCCCACGCCCTCCTGCTGCCCCCAGGACAGTGCGGCCCCCATTCCACCAATGAGCACGTGTCCCACCCCGAGGAATCTCAGAAGAGGGTCATGGGGAAGAAGCAGGCACAGAACCATTCATTCATCCATTCGTTCCACATTATTGAGGCTCTCTGTATGCCAGACACTGGGCCAGGAGCTGGGACAGCGGAGACATCAGACACTCAGGGGACATGCGTCCACGGCAGGCAGCGCGGTCTGACGGGGGGAAGCAGTGGCTGAGCAGCACAGGATGGAGCGTCGAGTCAGGCCTGGCGCCCAGGCGAGCCCCTGCTGGTCAGGATCCTGAAGGAACGCAGGACCCCAGAGGGCAGGGAGGCTGTGAGAGGGCCTCCGGGCACAGGACACCGTGAGGTAGCGCAGGCAGCAGGCGGAAGGGGCTGGCTGGGGCCCAGGTCCCTCGGGGACTGTCACAGAGGAGCCAAGCAGAAGCGTGGCTGTGCAGACAGCAAGACCTGGGCCTCCAGGACACACAGACCGAGGTCAGGGACAGGGCAGGGAAGACAGGAAGGGGCGAGGGGTGGGGAGCAGAGGCCATGGAGTGAGTCATAGTTGGGGTCGGAAGCGTCCTGGCGGTGACTCACCCTAACCTCCCACCCCGTGCGGGCGTCTGCTCTGCAGGGCCCAGCACTCAGCCACCAGCCTCTTCATCCAGCCAGGCTTCAGCCCGCGATTACTGGTCATCGGGCACCTACCACAGCGGGTCCCTGGGGACCTGGTGGGTGAAACAGCAAGTGAGGAACCAAGAACAAAGACATCTGGGAACGAGGCCAGCAAGCCAAGGCCAAGGAATGGGGTCACGCCCTTCCCATACACACATGGCCCTGGGCGTGAGACGGCACTTGCTGGTGTCCCAGCTGGGGCGAAGAGGCTGGGTGCTTCTCGGTCTCTGTCAGTCGCTGGACTCGTGCGGCTCCCAGAAGCAGTGTGACCTTGGCCAGGCCACCCACCAAGGGCTGGTACCCCAGCCGTCTTCTGGCAGCCCTGGCAGCTGGTGAAGTGAGTCCTTTGTCACCAGTGGAGACAAGTGGGGTGTTCCTGTGTCCACCACAGTGAGCCTGGGTGCGTCCTCAGTGTTGGTGTGTATCTCCCCACGTGTGTCCGTAGGTGTCTGCATGCCAACACATGTGTGTGCAGGGCCGTCCTCTCTAGGACCCGCGGCTGTGACAGCTGTGCAGGGGGCTGGGAGCTGAGCCTCACCCTCGCCACCTGCTCATCCCGCTGCCTGGGCGGGTCCTCCAGCTCCCTTCTGTCCCCGTGAACAGGTTCTGGTCAACAGGAGTGCAACACGGGACTCACAGTGGGGTGTCCATGGACCCTCTAGTAAGGACCTATTTTTAGTCTCACTGAGAGCAGGTAAGAGAGGGCTAACCTGTCAGGCTCCTGTGCAAACAGGACAAGGCCCTCCTTGCTAGCAGACCTCATGTGCATGCAAAGCCCAGCAAGCAGACTGGACAGATGCCATCCCTACTGGACCCTTCTACTGGGCACCAGTAGACAGACAGGATTGTCTTATCTGGACTGTATTTCCTGAGCCATGAGGCTATGAATAGGGCTTTTGGGGCCATGTGTCCCTGGGGAAACCTTTTCCATCTCCAGGCCTGACCTTCCTATCATAGTGTTGTCAGAAAACAGAATGACAGTGTCTGTTGTGAAGCCAGGCAGGCTCCTGCCCAGAGGCCCTTGGAAGTTTTGATGCTCCAATTTCAGGGCAGAGGAGGACCTAGGATGGCCCCGGAGGGAGCTGACGTAGGTAAGAAATGGAGCATCTCCTGGCGGTGGATGCCCACATCTGTCTCCCTCAACAAGCGACAGGTGTCCAGTGAGGTGTCTGCATGCAGCACATCCAGTGACCAAACAGACACAGAGAGAAGTCGGCAGGGGAGGGCCCGGGACGCAGTACAGCGGGGACGGGAAGCAGGCTCCTGGGTGCTCCAGACCTTGTGGCCCTGCATCCAGGCTGGATTCTGTCAGGGGTTCATATGAGCCTTGTGACTTTGTTTCACCAAATACTTCCTCAAAGAGCCCATGTCATAGAAATAAAAACCGTGTCTTTCCAGAGGTGTATGTTGCCATGTTATTTCACACACATTAACTACTGGCTGTGGCAGACCAACCCTGCTGGGCAGAGCACGGGGCAGGGGTGCGGGTGGTTTATGTCCTGGAATTCTTGGGGCTCACAGAATTCTGCCTCTCGTCTTGTTTGATTCAAACTACACAGCGACCAAGGCGAGCACATGTAGGCAGGGCCTGCCTCTCCTGAGTCCCCAGCTGCTGGCCCGCTGCTTCCCACGGCTGGCCTGGAGCCATGGAGGGCAGCCACTGGCCCAGATCACACAGGGGACAGGATCAGCACCAGTGCCCGGGGCTCCTGGCAGCAGGGCTCCCCAGCTCCGGGAACCTCTGGGTCTCCTTTGATGTACATGGACAGGAGATGGGCGAACACGGCGAGCGTACAGGCTGCCTGGGTGAGTGACAGCTGGCACAGACCCCTTGCACATGCGTGTACACACAAGCTTTACTCCTGGACTATGCAGAGGCTCTCTTCTTTCATCATTTGGGGTTCCACCTAACGCAATGCCTGGCATGCTGTTGCTGCTCAGTGAATGTTTGTTGAATGAATGAGTGAGTGAATGAATGAGAAATACGACCGGATATTTGCCTTCCCAAGTTTCCTGTAGTCTTCTCCAGAACCTTGATTCAGAGTCCCAGTTAGGCTGCTTCACATGGGGGAGGAGAAAGGGAAGAAAACAATAAATTTGTTAGTACTATGCCAGGCACTTCAATGTCTATCATCTCAGCCGATCTAACTTTAAAACGAGCAACCCCACGTGAGCAGATGTCACCCCACTGCAGCGACCCCACCATCCCCCGGTGCCCAGATATAAGGGCTTTAAGGACAGCGGGTTTATGGTGTTTGTATCCATTTCCGCTTCTACGTTCCCCCAGAAGATCTGAAAAATAAAACATCAGAACTTCTGCAGACCAAGAGCTCAGAATCCTAAGCTTGCAGCCCTCCCCCTTTGTAAGACAGAAATGCAAGAGAATATTAAGAGAGTGCAGGAAGCTAAAAATATCTCCAGAGCTTATGTAAATTCAGCGCACACAGAGGCTGGCCTTTGGGCTGCAGCTGTCCTCCGGAGTGACTTAGATGCACTTGGAAAGGAGATCCAGACATCCTCAGAACCCGCCACCATTTGTAACCTCTTAAAAATCTTCGTAATTGTGCTCCATGTTCTTTAAATTTATCACCCTTGGAAGCTGAACTACAATATGCTAATGAGGCCATTGAAGAGAACCAGACACCCCTCCTCCCCCAAGCTCTTGGGAGAACAGTGTGGGGTCAGCCATCCATCCTGGGGATAACAGGCGCCTTTGAGAGGGGCTGTACCCCAACCATTAGCATGTTAATAGGGAGGGAATCAAAAGGTCACTCAGCCAACAGCCAGAGGGGGCATCATTTCAGTCAAGACCCACCAGCACTGACATTGCACGAAAACAATTCCTAGTTGAGAATTAAATTTTTATCTGATGCAATTCTGAACTTCAGCATTTAAAATAATGCCAAGGAACACATTCGGCTTTGGGTTTCAGGCTGGCAGCCTCTATACATTCGGTGGGTGTTTTTCCCTCTCAGGAGACACGCTCCCACTGGTTTACGCAGGAAAATGAGGCCGCAGCGCTGAGGTAAGTGCCTGTGGGTAGGAAGGGGCTCTAACCGAGCAGATTTTAACCTTGGTGACCTGGAGTGCAGCTGGGCCCTGGCTTTCCTGTCGTATAACCAGCAGCCATGGGACATGATTCACCTTCTAGGTCCTCAGGGATGGCTGCTAGACTGGGATACAAGCAGCTCCCTGACATGGGACACGTGGCCACGAGCCAGGGGCTGGTCACTCTCTGCTCAGTGTCAACCGTGCTGAACTCAGACCGTCATATTCAGCAGAGACCATTCAGCTTCCAGATGGACAGGACCGAGTATTCCACTCAACAGTGCGATTCGGTTCATTGCTTGCAGAGACCCTGCAGAGCCAGCTCGGCCTGGTGGGCCCGGGGGCCAGGCCCCAGCCCCTGCCCAGCATCTCAGCAGGAACACTACAGTGAAAGTGGGTGCTCGAAACCTTCAAGCCGACACGGTCCTATCTGTACGGTAGATGGGCAGAGCTGTTCCATCTGCCCAGAAGGTGGTCGGTCCCACAAACACAGTGCTTCCTTGGGACGATCTTGGCTCCTCCCACCAACACTCTGGGAGCTGCCTTGCGGAGCTGGGGTGACCTCCACGGGAGAAGGTGAAGGTTCAACCCCTTCATGCTCCTGGCTAAATATCACCCTTGCCTACTGTTCACTGGGCAGCTAAGGGGAGCTCCTTTTCACCGACCCCAGCAGGTGCCTACATCTCAATCCCCGCGGGGGCTCATGCCAGCACCCGGACCCGCATCTGCCACGCCTCCTGCCTTCAGACAGCAAACCGGTTGCCCACCAGCTGGGCTCAGCCACCCATGTGCGATCAGGGTCTCCTCCACCCGACACACATGCTCACACAGCCACATACACGACTACACACACATACAACCACACACACAGTCACACAGCCACACACACACGCAAACACACTGTGTTTTTCAAAATGCAGGTTTCAAAAGCTTTAGGCTAAGACCTTCCCTCAGGTCGCCATCATCCCTACTGAGTCTGCCGCCATGCACACTTGGCTTAATTCATTTATCTTGTATCTGGACACTGAGAATATCTGAGTTTGTAAGACCCCAGTGGAGTCTGTACATTTCAATCCATATTTTGAGTCTTGTCACCCAGAAGCCTGTGTCCTGGAACAACAGGCGGGTACCTCAGGGTGAGGGGACACTAGGGACAAGGTCAGGGACTACGGGTGAGGGACACTAGGGCTGCAGCAAGTTCTGTCTCCACAGAATCAGGATCTAACAGGATAAGGTCAGTTTCAATCAGAGAACAGTGACATTTGGTCATTAAATGAGTTTTGAACATCTCTTGTATTATTCCTTGAGTTCCCTCGGACAATCTGCTTTCCTCATTTAATTCAGGGAGGAACTCAGGGAATAATAACAACCCTATCATGTTTCTCTTCTTTCCTTGGCTGCCAGTAAACTCACAGCTACATTTTCTGCTCAGTTGTAGTTAATTCTTGGCTGAAGGTTCTGATAGATATTTTCTCCTTTCATTGCTGGACTCCTCACCCATCTCTAATGTGTGCACCTTCTATATAAGCCATCTCTTCCCTTAGGAAGTGAGTGGGGCACTTCGAATAAATACTACATCAGCGGTTGAGTCAGGGACGGATGGCCAGGGGACTGGCCTTTAACCCCCATTCAGTCCACCAGTCATCTACCGACCCCTTTACCCGCTGGACCCCAAGCCTTCTCTTGGTGTTCTCCAGCAAGAGATTTTGAAGCTTTTGAAATGATGAAATGTTCCTGAGTCTACAACTGAGCACAGGCACGTTAATAGTGTCATGCTCTATTTCAGCACAGCAGCAAAGCCTGGGCCCAAAGCTCACGTGTTGTAAAGCAGGGGACCCCAGTACTTCAGCTCCCCTTCACTTTCAGCCTCTCTCCCAAATCCCAGACTCACATTTCCAATTACAGCTTGGACTTGTCTTTCTGAATGTTCCACAGACACCACACACCGAACAGGCACCAAACTGACTCTGTCTTTCTACCCTGTCCTAAGAACTTGTCTCTCCCTCTGTGTTCTCCGTTCCAGCTAATTCATCGCTGCTCCGTGCGCTTCCTGAGCTAGACCCCATGATGCCTGCCCTCCCGTTCTGTCTCCAGAACAAGCCTCTGAACCTAACTCCATGCCTGAAGCCCTACTGTCTGTCTTAGTCCAGCACTTGCTTTTCTCTCTCCTGAACTGTTCCCACACCTTCTTACGCATTCTCCCTGTCACCAGCCTTGTCCTTTACTTTCGTATCACCGTCAGTGTCATCCGACTGGTTATTTTCTACTTCAGGAGCTTTGCTGGCCTCTCAATGCCTGAAGCTACATAGTGTGCAGACGGTCCATGGCAATCTAGACCAACTTATCCAGCCTCATCCCCCACTTCCCACTGTGGCCTGATCATTCTGAACTTCTCACTCTCCTTAAAACCACCTGCACCCTTCCACATCTGTGTGCTTTCACCCTTACCACTCTTTCTGCCAAGAACACTGTTTGCACTGTCTAACCCTCTACCTGGAAACTAATTCTTACTTTTCATGAATTAACAATCAACAATACCTTGTCTACCTGCCCCACCATGAAATCCTTCTTGACCTTTCTACCTTCCCTTAGCTGCTTTTTCAAAAGCATTCCCCAGAAATTATCCAGGCACATTTAAATTATTTGTTAACAGGCTTGTCTCTGCCCATCCCTCTGAGATAACTTAGGTCAGGAATGACATTTTTCAAAGCCCCAGTACCTAGCACACCAAGTGGCACTGGCTGATACTCATTAAGAATTAATAAAGTCAGAAATCTGTTGCATTCCTATATACTAACAAAGAACTAGCAGAAAGAGAAATCAGGAAAACAAATCCATTCATAATTGCATCAAAAATAATAAAATACCTAGGAATAAACCCAACCAAGGAAGTGAAAGACCTATACTCTGAAAACTACAAAACACCCATGGGAGAAATTAAAGATACCAATAAATGGAAACACACCCCGTGCTCATGGATAGGAAGAATTAATATTGTCAAAATGGCCATCCTGCCTAAAGCAGTCTATAGATTCAATGCAATGCCTATCAAAATACCAACAGCACTCTTCAATGAACTAGAGCAAATAGTTCTAAAATTCTTATGGAACCACAAAAGACTCCAAATAGCCAAAGAAATCCTGAGAAGGAAGAATAAAGCAAAGGGAATTACGCTCCCTGACTTCAAGCTCTACTGCAAAGCCACAGTAATCAAGACAGTTTGGTACTGGCACAAGAACAGACCCATAGACCAATGGAACAGACTAGAGAGCCCAGATATAAACCCAAGCATATATGGTCAGTTTATATACGATAAAGGAGCCATGGACATACAATGGGGAAATGACAGCCTCTTCAACAGTTGGTGTTGGCAAAACTGGACAGCTACATGTAGGAGAATGAAACTGGATCACTATCTAACCCCACACACGAAAGTAAACTCAAAATGGATCAAAGACCTGAATGTAAGTCATGAAACCATAAAACTCTTAGAAAAAAACATAGGCAAAAATCTCATGGACATAAACATGAGTGACTTCTTCATGAACATATCTCCCTGGGCAAGGGAAACAAAAGCAAAATTGAACAAGTGGGATTATATCAAACTAAAAAGCTTCTGTACAGCAAAGGACACCATCAAGAGAACAAAAAGGCATCCTACAGTATGGGAGAATATATTCATAAATGACAAATCTGATAAGGGGTTGACATCCAAAGTATATAAAGAGCTCATGCACCTCAACAAACAAAAAGCAAATAAGCCAATTAGAAAATGGGCAGAGAAGCGGGACAGACAGTTCTCTAAAGAAATTCAGATGGCCAACAGACACATGGAAAGATGCTCCACATCCCTAATCATCAGAGAAATGCAAATTAAAACTACAGTGAGATATCACCTCACACCAGTAAGGATGGCCACCCTCCAAAAGACAAACAACAAATGTTGGCAAGGATGCGGAGAAAGGGGAACCCTCCTACACTGCTGGAGAGAATGTAAATTAGTTCAACCA